TAGTCTGTTTTTTATTCAAACACACACACACACACACACACACACACACACATATATATATATATATATATATATATATATATATGGTTTCACATACTATTTCATTTTCAACATTTTTTTCACTGCTCTTTGGACTGTCATTGCTGAAACTCCTCTTTCACGTGCCAGACGTCTTATAGATTGAGTTGGATCTTTTCTAATTGATCTCTTTAGCTCTAAGTTGAAATGATAATCACTCGTCCTGCTGTAACCTCCTGATCCAGTTTTACGATCTACCGCGCCCACTTTTGTAAACTTATTCACTGTGTTCATGATGGATTTTGAAAGGACTTTCAAGATATGAGCCAGAGGCTAAATGTTGGTACAATTACTGAAGGCCTGAGTGATCTTTTTCCTCTCACCATTGCTCATTTGGGAAGACATAGTGGGGTTGATATTAGAGATTTTAACCTGTTCTCTTTCTAGCTGAATAACTCAAAGGGTTTTTCAGCTATTTGAACCACAAATTGTGTCAAGATGTTCATCATTGATTATCATAGCTATGGATCGGAAGCTCATGAAGGATTGAAATATAGTTCAAATATATATATATATATATATATATATATATATTATTCCAGACTAATTTTCCAACTTATTCAAGATGATCTTCGGCCTCTCTGACCTTATATTTTCTGTCCTGGAGCAACAAGGTGCCTCACACGTTTCACGTAAGATTTCCTTTTCAAGTTTTTTTACTACTTTCACTTTCATAGATTAAACTCTTTTCTCAGATGTCAAACGTCTTATAGACTGAGTTGGATCTTTTCTAATTGATCTCTTAAGCTCTAAGTTGAAATGATGATCCGTCTTGGTGTTGTGACCTCCTGATCCAGTTTACCCCTCTACTGTTCTATCTTTTTAAACTTATTCACCGTTCTCTTCATGGTTCTTGAATTAATTTTGAAGATGGTAGCCAGAGGCTAAATGTTACTACCATTAATGAAGGCCTGAATGATCATTTCCTCTCACCATTGCTCATTTGGGGAGACATAGTGGGGCTGATATTAGCGATTTTAACCTGTTCTCTTTCTAGCTGAATAACTCAAAAAGATTTTTAAGTTATTTTTACGACAAATGGTGTCAAGATGTTCATCATTGATTATCATAGATATGGATCTCTTGAAGGATTGAAATAAAGTTCATATATATATATATATTATTCCAGACTAATTTTCCAACTTATTCAAGATGATCTTTGGCCTCTCTGACCTTATATTTTCTGTGCTGGGGCAACAAGGTACCTCACACGTTTCACGTGAGATTTCATTTTCAAGTTTTGTCACTGCTTTCACTTTCATTTCTGAAACTCCTTTCTCAAATGCCAAACGTCTTATAGACTGAGTTGGATCTTTTCTAATTGATCTCTTAAGCTCTAAGTTGAAATGATGGTCCCTCTTGGTGTTCTTTCTTGGTGTAAAAATCTGTCTCACACATTTCGAGTACAATTTAATTTTCAAGTCTTTTTCAGTGCTCTTTCGACCGTCATAGCTAAAACTCCTCTCCCACGTGTCAAACATCTTATGGATTGAGTTGGATCTTTTCTAAATAATGTCTTTAGCACAAAATTGAAGTGAAGATCCCTTTCACTGTTATGACCTCCTGACTCAGTTTTCCTCTTTACTGTTCCCTTTTTTTTAAACTTATTCACCGTTCTCTTGATGGTTCTTGAATATACTTTGAAGATGGAAGCCAGAGTATGAAAGTTGGTACCATTAATGAAGGTGTAAATGATCTTTTTTCTCTCACCATTGCTCAGCTGGGAAGACAGTGAGTTTGGTACAAAATGATTTTAAACTGTTCTCTGAATAACTCAAAGGGTTTATCTGTGATTCTTACGACAATTGATGTCGAAATGCCTAAACGTCTTATATGAAAACCTGGAAAAGAGCAACTCTGTTAGCTTAGTGTGTGTTTTTTTATTACATATTAAACATTTTGTAGGATATTATGCCGGTAAACCCCTTCCCTCATTTGGACAACTTTGCTGTTTCACCCGGTATATCGATAGAAGAGGGGAACCATAAAAACAAAAGAAAGGCATATAGAAACACGTTTGCTGATTGAATATTAAGACAGTATTTACATTAGTCGGACTATTGTCCTAATCTTTGTCGCCATATTTGTCACAACGTTTCGGCCGTTGTACGCTCCGGCCTTCTTCAGGTGGTTGGAATTTCGAACTGAACCCTTTATTTCGATCACTGGGGTAGACTGTTCTAGAAATATAGACAGACTCTGAATATTAAGAGGTAATGAGCTAAAAATAAAAAAAATAAGAGCGACATGTGTAATTGCTATACATTAATATCCTCTCTTGTGAGTTTTTGAAAATCCTCTTTTGAAGGGTATAAATGCGTCTTTCTCTCTGAAACTAAACGTTAAATAGCAACGTAGCCACGGTTAGCTAGAGTTCGGTGGCAACTTGTTTGAGAAAAGGAAAGCTTTTAATCCCAAACCGGGAAGAAATGTGAGGAGAAAATCTTCTTCTAGCTTTCCCAAGAATATCAGAGCTATAGAACAATGTGTTTAGAGGCATCATCAACACACCTCTTCGTGAGACATGGTATTAAAATAAAAGATAAAAAGGACGTTGCTCTTGCTCTAGAACATTTTTTTTTACATTTTCATAAAAGGTTCTGAATATGGAACTAATCGTTACTTAATTAACTTCTAGGCTAAAAACATAAATTGAAAAAAAAACGTTTCTTAGGGAGAGAAATAGGAAATAAAGGCAAAAGGAGCCGACATTTGACCTATATATTTATATATAAAACAAAGGATGTTTGTGTGTGTGTCTGTCTGAAACCTTTTCACACGATATCCATCCAACCGATTTTGACCAGACTTGGCATATGCATTGTACTATGTAAGAGATAGGTACTTGACGTAAAAAAATCCATATTTTTTAAATCAATAATTTATAAAGCCCATCAGAAATCTATAAATTGATCTTTTTTCCATCCGATTGTGTTCAAATTCGGTATGTAGGTTACTTACATCATAACGAGCTAAACTATACCTATTTTTTTATTTCTACGGCACTGCGTTTTACGAAAAACCGTGATAAACGAAAAATTGATTTAAACACAAATTGATTTCAACAGAAATTTTAAACCAAATACTCTTTCAATTTCCAAGCAATCAAATACAAACTTGACTCTTTTTTTTAATTTCATGGCATTATTTTTTTTCTTCTGTCAAAATTTTGGAATTTGTATTTCTTCCTTTCTTTTGTTGTGTTTTTTTTCTTATATTCTTGTTTTTAACTTTTCTTTACCATTTTTCTTCCTCTCTTTTCTCATTCACCCTTTAATCTACAAAATTCTTTTCGTTTTTTTCATTGTCCTCTTCGTCCTACTGAATCTTCTTCTTCTTTCTTCTTCTTCTTCTTCTTCTTCTTCTTCTCTATCCTCATCCTTCTTTTTCTTCCACCTCTACCTCCTCCTACTTCCTCCTTATTCTTCTCTTTTGTATCTTCATTTTCTTTCTCCTTCTCACCATGTATCTCCCTTCCCCTCTGTCTTTTCAATCTTCTTCCTCTTCTACATTTTCTCCTCCTCCTTCACTTCCTCACTCTTCTCTTCTTTATCTTCATCCTTCATCTTCTTCCTTTTGAAACAACAAGTTTTGCTCCTTTTTCGTCTTCATTTTCTTCTTTCTCTTCGAAAATTCAATAATTCCTGCTATTATTATTATTATTATTAATATTACTTTTGGATCCCCCCCAAACGGGCTGGTATTTATGTAATCTTTGTCACTTTTTTGACAATTCTGCTTAGTACTTTCGCATTTTTACTGGGGTAATAGCAGAAAGAAGCGTTATAACGTATTTGGCAGCCAGCTCACGTCCTCCATTCAAAGTATTTTAGATCCAATTTCCATTTTGACAAGTCCGTTGCTGTTCGTGTTTGAAGCCACGTCAATGGTGCTTAAAAGGAAAATATGAGGAGCGTAGCGGGCAGGAATGTTTTGAATCTTTGAAGTAACACGCTGCCAAATTATTTATGTGTTGAACTTTAACATTGAGAAAATATAAATTTATAAGCAGTAGATAGATAGATAGATAGATAGATAGATAGATAGATAGATAATGAAAAAACTGAAAGGAAGAGATTCAGATAGATAGATAGATAGATAGATAGATAGATAGATAGATAGATAATGAAAAAACTGAAAGGAAGAGATTCAGATAGATAGATAGATAGATAGATAGATAGATAGATAGATAGATAGATAGGGAGAGAGAGAAAGATATGATCTGTCCGAAATACATAATACACTAAATCAGATAGATAGATAGATAGATAGATAGATAGATAGATAGATAGATAGAAAAGCTTGAGAAAGATAGATGCATAGATAGATAGTAACAGAGTGAGATAGATAGATATGATGTCTGAAATACATAATACACTCAGATAGATAGATAGATAGATAGATAGATAGATAGATAGATAGATATGATCTGCCTGAAATACATAATAAACTGAGATAGATAGATAGATAGATAGATAGATAGATAGATAGATAGATAGATGAAGAGCTTGAGAACGATAGATGCATAGATAGTAACAGAGTGTGATAGATAGATAGATAGATAGATAGATAGATAGATAGATAGATAGATAGATATGAACGCTGAGAAAGAAAGAAAGAAAGAAAGCAAGCAAGCCAACAGATTTTGATTAAATTTATTTACGAATGTCATCTGCAAAAATTGATTAGTATACACACGTAATATCCATCTTTTTTAAACTGTCCCTATGTATGTATTTATTTAGCTGGTTGTCTCCTTCCTTTGATATTTGCTTCATCCAAATTTCGGCCTTCTATTCGATTAGGCAATTTTTAATGTATGCATACGCTTAAACTCACATATATTATCGTATATTTTAAGAAGTTTTCTTTCTTGATGACAACAGTTTATAATTCGAAGACATCTTGTACAAACATCTTCAATGTTATGTTTCTAACTCAAATATATATTTATAGAATTCACCAAATTGAATAAAATAATTTTTTTTCCTAACTATTCAACATTACTACTTTTTTCCTGATATCTCTCTCCAAGAGTTGGATAGAATTTCATCTTGTTACAATGTAAGCAATTTATATTTGCAAATCCATAGACGCAGAAAAAATCGTGCTCTTAGTAATGTGATATTTTCTTCTATGTGCCGTGGCAATTCAGAATGTTGCGTATCATGGCTCTCCACAATTTCCTGTCCGTTTAAAATCTTAATAAATGTCGTCTTTTGGTTAACTCTCTTAAATCTTGATCCGCCATCCATTTACTCGCTAGGGAGGCTATGCGTTGTTTTTCTCTGTCTGTCTTGCTATAAATCTGTCCTGTGAGTATCTAATTTTCCAAGCCCTCTTTCCTCACTCTGTACTCTAGAAATTTCAGGACTTCTTCTAGATTTAAAATATAAACGTCCATTTTGTTTTTTTCTTTTTTCTAAAAATTCGTTGTAGCATCTTTCTGCTGCTTCAAGTCTCTTCCTCCTCGTTTCTGTTGCCTCAAGTCTCTTCCTTCTTATTTGTGTTGCTTCAAGTCTCTTCTTCCTCGTTTCAGTTGCCTCAAGACTTTTCCTCTTCGTTTGTGCTGCTTCAAAACTCTTCCTTCTCATTTGTGTTGCTTCAAGTCTCTTCTTCGTTTGTGTTGCTTCAAGTCTCTTCTTCCTCGTTTCTGTTACCTCAAGTCTCTTCCTCCTCGTTACTGTTGCTTCAAGTCTCTTCCTTCTTATTTGTGTTGCTTCAAGTCTCTTCTTCCTCGTTTCTGTTGCCTCAAGTCTCTTCCTTCTTATTTGTGTTGCTTCAAGTCTCTTCTTCCTCGTTTCTGTTGCCTCAAGTCTCTTCCTCCTCGTTTCTGCTGCTTCAAGTTTCTTCTTCCTCGTTTCTGTTGCCTCAAGTCTCTTTCTCCTCGTTTCTGTTGCTTCAAGTCTCTTCCTTCTTATTTGTGTTGCTTCAAGTCTCTTCTTCCTCGTTTCTGTTGCCTCAAGTCTGTTCCTCCTCGTTTTTGTTGCTTCATGTCTCTTCTTCTTCGTTTGTGTTACTTCAAGTCTCTTCCTTCTCATTTGTGCTGCTTCAAGTCTCTTCTTCGTTTGTGTTGCTTCAAGTCTCTTCTTCCTCGTTTCTGTTGCCTTAAGTCTCTTCCTCCTCGTTAGTGTTGCTTCAAGTCTCTTCCTTCTCATTTGTGTTGCTTCAAGTCTTCTTCCTCGTTTCTGTTGCCTCAAGTCTCTTCCTTCTTATTTGTGTTGCTTCAAGTCTCTTCTTCCTCGTTTCTGTTGCCTCAAGTCTCTTCCTCCTCGTTTCTGCTGCTTCAGTCTCTTCCTTCTCATTTATGTTGCTTCAAGTCTCTTCCTTCTCATTTGTGTTGCTTCAAGTCTCTTCCTTTCTTATTTTCCTCCTCATGTTGCTTCATGTCTCTTCCTTCTTATTTATAATGTTGTTCAAGTCTCTTCCTTCCTTGTTTCCATAACTTTCTTCTCAGTCTCTTCCTCTTCGTTTGTGTTGCCTTTAAATCTCTTCTTTATTTCTCCTTTGTGTTGCTTTCTTTTTTTCTTCTTTTCATCCTTCTTTTGTTTATTTCTCTTCTTCGTTTGTGTTGCTTTTTCTTCCTTCTCATTTAGGTTTCTTTTTCTTCCTCGTTTCTGTTGTCTCTTCCTGCTTATTTCTGTTGCCTCAAGTCTCTTCCTCCTCGTTTCTGTTGCTTCAAGTCTCTTCCTTCTTATTTGTGTTGCTTCAAGTCTCTTCTTCCTCGTTTCTGTTGCCTCAAGTCTCTTCCTCCCTCGTTTTCTGTTGTGTTACTTCAAGTCTCTTCCTTCTTATTTGTGTTGCTTAAGTCTCTTCTTCCTCGTTTCTGTTGCCTCAAGTCTCTTCCTTCTCGTTTCTGTTGCCTCAAGTCTTCAATTGTCTCTTCCTTCTTATTTGTGTTGCTTCAAGTCTCTTCTTCCTCGTTTCTGTTGCCTCAAGTCTCTTTCCTTCTCGTTTCTTCTGCTTCAAGTCTCTTCCTTCTCATTTGTGTTGCTTCAAGTCGCTTCCTTCTTATTTGGCATGTTGCTTCTCTTCTTCCTCGTTTCAGTTGCCTGTCTTCCTTCTTATTTGTGTTGCTTCAAATCTCTTCTTCCTTTGTTTCTGTTGCCTCAAGTCTCTTCCTTCTTATTTGTGTTGCTTCAAGTCTCTTCTTCCTCGTTTCTGTTGCCTCAAGTCTCTTCCTTCTCGTTTCTGTTGCTTCAAGTCTCTTCCTTCTTATTTGTGTTGCTTCAAGTCTCTTCTTCCTCGTTTCTGTTGCCTCAAGTCTCTTCCTTCTCGTTTCTGCTGCTTCAAGTCTCTTCCTTCTCATTTGTGTTGCTTCAAGTCTCTTCCTTCTTATTTGTGTTGCTTCAAATCTCTTCTTCCTCGTTTCTGTTGCCTCAAGTCTCTTCCTTCTTATTTGTGTTGCTTCAAGTCTCTTCTTCCTCGTTTGCGTCACCTACATATTTTATGCTGTTAAGACTGGATACTAATAATGAATCCTGGTATGACTTTTACTGATTGTATAATCAGGAATAGGCCAGGTTTGGTAAAGGAATCACTGTTTACCCGCCCCGCTTGATTTAAATTTAAATAAGAACACATCAAAATATATTTTCACTTAAAAATCGCGAAACGCTATTTTAGTAACGTCTCTTCTCTAACGTCTTTCTCATCTTCTTCTTCTTCGTTATCTGCTTCTTCTTCATCATCATTTTCTTCTTCTTCTTCTTCTTCTTCTTCTTCTTCTTCTTCTTCTTCTTCTTCTTCCGTCCTGTGTATGACGATAAGCTACATCCGCGTCCTGGGTAAGACGATATACTACGTTCAACAGAAAGGCCTCTGATCAGATGGTTTTGAAGAGCGTGGAACCACCTCTTAATTGATGGTGTTCCCAGGTCCACCCTGGACCGGAGTGGTGGCACCTGTTGGGGTCCCGGCTATGGGAAAATGGTTTACACCCCAACTTGTGTAAAAATAGGTTTTTATACCAGAAATACTTTGTAATAAAAATTTTTTGAATGAAAAATTCTTATTAGCAATACTTTAAAAAAATACCAGCAATAAAAACTGCTTTACATTCTTTGATAACGTTGGAGAATATTACCAAGTGAGTAATTAAAAAAAAATTTACGAAAATGAAACCATCCAAGATTGAAAATATCCTAAAAGAAGTTGGATTTTACTCAAAAATATGAGTAATTGAAAAATGGTTCAAATATATATGTATACATAAACACCTTTCTTGTCCAGACTATCGCTATGAATCTCTTTAAAAAATGTTGTTGGCATTAAATGACCCACTGATCTTTTGATATGCCATAAAATAAAACAACCAACCAAATCTTCATATTCTTATTCTTCATTATTATTATTATTATTATTATTATTATTATTATTATTATTATTATTATTTTTATTATTATTATTCGTGATATTTCCTTTTCTCACTAAAACCAGCCTGATTGAATCTTGTTTAGGATTGGGTTTCCGGCTCCTTCTAAAGATTATTCCTGCTTGTTCACATCCGATAGACCCTTGAGTCTTGGTAACATTATCACCTTGCTTATGGCTGTGCCTATTACTTTGTAACACTCTACCTCGAATGGATCCTGAGCCTTGTACAGCGTGAACATCATTATGTGTGTAAACAACCTCTCATATAAATCTTTTTTCCCCTACCTTTCCTTCCAATCCAAACCGGACGGTCCATTATTTATCTGAGGCAATGGCACGTCGTAACGTATCTGATATCTAACTTACGAACAAACTGAGAAAGAAAGCATGATGATATTTACGCCATTTTTGGAAGGTAAAGATAAACTCGAAAAAATATTTTTGTTCCTTGATTTTTTATTATTATTAAAAGGTTTAAAGGCTCCCAAATGATGACAAAGGAATAAAAATAAATCAAGTTTGAACATATGTTAGAAAAAGTCTCAGAAAAGTGTGAAAAGTAACATTTCAGAATCTAATATATTTCCCTCCTCCTCAAATCGGCATCTAAATCTAATGGTCATCTTCGCTGTCAAATGGAACAGCCATTTGGACACGTTGAATTGATTTCTCTTTTTCCTGCCATCACTGCTTATCTTCGCTTACGGCAAAATCCTTGTCCACCTAAAGGGAAGTACATTTCCATCCTCTGGAATGATAACTCTAACTTGGAAAATAGTCTACTCCTTCTACGACATTTGCCATCTACATACGGATATGAATCTAAATAAGTTTTTTTTTTTCCACGGGTCTTTTCTACGCAAGTGTCTGGTCACTCTAACTGAACAGGCTTTAGAAGCCAGACAAATTTTAGTCTTGAGATATTCGATAACGCTGAAAGAGAGGAATAAAAATCGATAAAATCTCATCGATTTAATAATAAATTTCATAGCCCGATTTTATCTGACAATAAAATTAGTATTAATAATTAACTGACAATATATTTCTTCCTGACAATCAACGAATTTCTATTGTAAATAATTGATCTAAATATACGTTATAGAGCGTATAAGATTCAAAATCGTTGGACCTGTCAGCTCGAAACTTGGAAATTTCAATATGTTTAGAGTTTTCTGTCTATGAGTTGGTGAAAATATTATCTATGTCATCAAATAAATTCAGCTTGATACAGATTCGTACACCCGTTCGAGCGGAAGTTGGTGCCAGGCCGTGTTTAAAGCGGGTGGGGGAGGGAGTCTTACATCTGCATTAGACAAGAGACAGAAGTTTCACAGCTGCCTTGGCGTTTTCCGTTTGTTATATCGCAAAGACCCAGGATTAACCCTAGCCTTCCCTTACCGGACAGATACTGCCCGCTGAATGCACTACAAAGACGAGTTTCTCAAGTACTGGGTATTAAATACTGTTTTATCATTTGCGTCAACCAGCATTTTTCTTATACATTGTACAATGTTCCTCCAAAATATAAACAATTTGCTAATTCATCTTCATTTTTTTTTATACATATCTCTTTTATAATTATACTCTGATCTTTTGTGATTTTCATAAATAAAAGATTTTCTTTCATGCCTGTTATAATTGATCAAGAAAAACTTTTTTACAGCCGTGGAAGTGGTAACCACATAAGCATTTAGATCACGGTGTGGAATTACAGTGGAATATGCGATGTGCCAAAGAAATTTTGGCATTTCTGATATTACAATTTGAATATCTAAGAAGTAAAATTTTACAAATAATTTGCAAATCGAAAAAAGGAACTTAAATAAAAATAATTTTCTAAAAATACACTATATAAAATGAATAACTACTAAACTTGTGTGTTCTATTTACTCCCTTTATAACTATATATATATGTTTGTATGTATATATATATATATATATATATATATATATATATATATGTATGTATGTATGTATATTTCTGAGATGAGATATTATGTACACTATTTACATTATTCGGACTATTGTCATCATCTTTGTCGCAATATTTATTACAACGTTTCGGCCGTTGTACACTCCGGCCTTCTTCACGTGGTGGGAATGTCGAATTGAACCCTTTATTTCGCTCACTGGGGTAAAATGTTCGAGTTCCACGTGCCATGTTTTAATGGATGTCAGTTATCTCCTGTTAATTTCCCTCTCCAAGTTCTCCACTGCCTTAACCGGGATTTGAACTCCTACTCTTTGGGTCTAGAGACTGGTTCTAACCCACGCCTTTATCCACTGTACGATGTGTCCTCAAGGATAACTGACTCAAGTTCAAGTTAAGAAAAGTTTTCTTGGTGGGGTGCTTACATTATAAAAGAAAGAGAACAGAAACAAGCGTTAATATAACTGGTAATGGGTTTTATATATATATATATATATATATATATATATATATATATATATATATATATATATATATATATATATATGATATTAATGTTTAAATTGTAAATACTTATATATACACATGTACATATATACACTGACCAAAAATAAGTTTAACACCGCAAGTTTTATTAATTTCAGAATAAGTTTCTAATGAAACAATATAAATTAGTTTTATTGTATACGATTTATGAAGAATTTATTTTCTGTTTTGAATCATGTAAAATTTGTATATTTTTCTACAACTTTTAATGCTGGATTAATTTAAATTATCCAAATTTGCCGGCAAAATAAGTTTAAGACCGCATAGGTATCATTATATTTAAAGCAAAATGTTATAGTAAAAATGAGCAAATATATATATATATATATATATATATATATATATATATATATATATATATATATATATATATATATATATATATATATAACTTTTAGTGCCGCAACCTTTATAAATTACAGCTTCACATCGCCTAGGCATCGAGCTTGATAAGTGAGCACAGAAATCATTTGCAATGTTCTGTCATATTTGTCTAATATAATCTATATCTGTTCATATCTATCTATCTATCTATCTATCTATCTATCTATCTCTGTTCATATCTATGTCTTTTGCCAGTCTAGATGACTGGCGAAAATAATTTTAAGTCTGGTGGCTAAGGTTTTATTCATCTCACAATATGTTTCTGATAAAACTTGAAAGATTTTAATTCTGGATTAATTCAAATTATCCAAATTTGCCGGCAAAATAAGTTTAAGAGCGCATCGGTTTTATTATATTTAAAGCAAAAGTTATCGTAAAATGAGCAAAAATATATATCAATATTTTATGCCGTAATCCTTATTATTAAATCATTTGGAATGTTCTACCATATTTGCTTAATATAATCATATAATTGGGCAACATTTGTTGTTTTTATAGTGTGAAATCTTTTAGAAATATAATTCCATAAATTTTCAATCCAATTAAGATCCGGACTCCGTGGAGGCAACTTAATGACATCCATATTATGGTGATCAAAAAATTGCATCACTTTTTGGCTTTTTTAATCTTGTTGATAAATAAGTGTATGTGGCATTTGGTCAGTCAAATGTGGCAGAACATGTTTCGTACCTATCTCCATATAGCCTACAATATTGAGTTTTCAATCAACTTTAACAATTGGACCAATACCAAAGCTACCGAACGCACCGTAGACCATTACACCTTTGCCTCCTGCTTGCGCCGTCATTTTGACATATTTAGGGTGTAATTCCTCGGTTAGGGAGCGTCTGACAAATATTCGCCATCTGATCCAAAGATGCAAAATCGTGACGTCACTCAAAAGAAGTCTACACTTGTCGTCGACCGTTCATTGAATGTGACCTTTTGCGAAATTCAGCCTCTTGAGTCGTTTCCTCCCCGAAATAATTGGCTTTTTTTCTAGCAATGCACCCGAAAAATTCAAATTCTCTTAGACGTTTTCGGACAGTTTGCAGCTTAAAACTAACGCCAGTTTTACCAGATAATTGGCTGCAAATGTCCGCGCCGTCAGCATTCGGTTAACTTCGGAAAGCCTATGAATTCGCCTGTCAAGTTGCACTGTTGTTTTTCTTGGGTCTTCCAATCTTCTCCTATTCTTATATTGTCCAGTATTCTGGTAAAGCTTCCAAGCCTGAACACAAGCCGTTTTGCTGCACTTTAATTGCTTGCTTATGGTATTAAAGGAAACGTTTTGTTGATGAAGTAACACTATTTTTGATTTAGTCACTGGGCTAAGATTCCGACGCTTTTCCTTAGCGAATTAATTATATAACAATGCTCAATTATTACATTATTGCATTAAAGACCAACTACGTGACAAACCATTTAGCAAATAATTTGCACAACACCCATGCCGTCGTATTTTACCAAGAAATTTAGATAATTTAAATTAATCCAGAATTAAATTTTTTCAAGTTTTATCAGAAAGATATTGTGAAATGAATAAAACCTTAACCATCAGACTTAAAATTATTTTCGCCGGTCTAGATAGATAGATATGAACAGAGATAGATAGATAGATAGATAGATAGATAGATAGATAGATATGAACAGCTATAGATTATATTAGGCAAATATAGCAGAACATTTTCAAATGAGTGTTGTGCTCTCACTTATCAAGCTCGATGCCTAGGGCGATGTGAAGCAGTAAAAATAATAAAGGTTACGGCATTAAAATTTGATATATATATATATATATATATATATATATATATATATATATATATATATATATATATATATATATATATTTATTTGCTCATTTATACTTTAACATTTTGCTTTAAATATAATGATACCCATGCAGTCTTAAACTTATTTTGCCAAAGCAAATTTGGATAATTTAAATTAATCCACATTAAAATTTTTCAATTTGTACAAAAATATACAATTTTTACATCATTCGAAGGGGAAATAAATTCTGTATAAAGCGTACACAATGAAACTAATTCATGTTGTTTTATTAGAAACATATTCTGAAATGAATAAATCTTTAAACATTGGTCTTACACTTATTTTCGCCAGTGTTGGTATATATATATATATATATACATGAATTATTCACACAAAAACTAATGCAAAGGTTAATGATTTAAATGGCGAGACATCCATCATCGCAAACAATTCAAATAATATACAAAAAAAATAATTGATCCAAGTGCGACTTTTGGATAATAAGTGCGACATTACTGTAATTATTGAACAATATAGTTCATGCCACTTTAACAGAAAAATTTACCAGTAAAAAATATGTTCATCACCATATTTTATATGAACGCACAACCTTTAAAAATTTAAAATCAAACTCAGCGTTGCTTTTTCGCGTTCAAAAACAATAACTCATTTTCAATAGCATTTTCGGATACAACAATACATATATTTTCGTTGTCCTCTTATTACTAAGAGAAAAAACAAGAACAACATCTATTCTATACCTGAATATGTCTTGTAGGAACATACGAAAGCTTGTAGTAAAATAAGAACTAATACGGCAGAAATTTATATAAACAAGGATCATTTCATTCATATCGGATACGGAGGTTTTGTATATTATTTGAATTGTTTTTTGCGATGATGGATGTCTCGCCATTTAAATCATTAACCTTTGCATTAGTTTTTGTGAATAATTCATGTATTTGTAAATCGATTGCACGTTTATCGTAATATATATATATATATATATATATATTCGAGGAAACGCGAGGTTAGTCAATCAGACGCTTGCTCAGGCGCATTTTTGTTCAGAGCCAAACTGATACTGCAACTTTGCTGAGCAAACCTTTCTTACAGTTTCTGGGAAAGAACGTGATATCTCACGTGATCAATAATTTGAACAAGGCCAGCACGCTCAAGCCCTCAGCCACGATGACATTTGACTTTGTGCTTGCACAGCTATCGACGGCCGCTAAGCGTTTCGTCTACCCAATTTAACTCACAAGGCTTGCGTCAACCCCTGGTATTTTTTCAGTCACTTTATGCTATTGTCTAATTTTAGTTTAATGACTATGTTTTTAGCTTCTTTGTTCATATCACTGCTTCGTTATTAGTGGTTTTGTAAAATTTAGTGACTTCTTTGTCTACTAGTTTATTGTAGTGGTTTATGTTTTTATTTCATAAGATTTCATAAATCTTTTAATGTTTGTTTTGTTTTGCTTTGCTTTACGGCATATCAACTTCAATGGAGTTTTAATGCCGATAAGATCTTTATTGCTGGCAATAATTTTTTTAAAAATGTATTGCTGTAAATATTTTCCTTTCAAAAACCTATTGCTGGTATTAAAACCTATTTTTACATTTTCATAGTGTTATGACCACAGTTTTGGGGTTAACGATTTTCTCATAGCTAGGACCCTAACAGGTGCTACCACCCCGGGTCAGGGTGGACTTTAGAACACCAGCAATTAAGAGGTGGTTTCTGATCAAAGGCTTTGCTGTCGAATGTAGTTTATCGTCTTACCCAGGAAACGGACGTAGTTTATCGTCTTACCCAGGAAGCGGACGTAGTTTATCGTCTTACCCAGGACGCAATTCTTTTAAGTCTAATTACGCGAAGGAGCAGTTTTCTATATTACTGGTGTTATTAAACAAGTTGATTGTTGCTTTAGTATTTTTTCCATTGGTTTACGCTTAGTATGATTCTTAGTTTTGAGCATAGTTTTTCTCTAATATGTGTTTGCCTATTTCTAAATATTGATTTTTATGGGACTTAATAATCTCCATGTTCGTTTGGTCATGAAGTTTTCCTTGTGGTCTTTTAATTAAAGAAATGGTTCTAGTTTTGCTAAATGTTTTATGCTAGTGTCTAATTTTAGTTTAGTGGCTATGTTTTTAACGTCTTCATTTATATTACTTTATGTTCGGCTATGTTACATAGGAATAAAATGCCGCTGCAGGCACTTGAGTTTGAACATAGATCGCCAGTAAGCAAACACAGGCGATACCATTATTAAATTAAGTGGATCACCTGATCATGGGAGAAACGCAATGTAGGAAGTCACGTGACGTATAAATGGTCTGCATTTCTAGTCTATCCTCCATTACTATTCAGATCATTATTTCTAGTCTATACTCTATTACTATAAGAACCGCTAATCTTTACTCTATTCACTATACTATTTCTTTGTACGGATTACTCTTCGGATCACTATTCGGCGGTTACTATTCGAGCGAGTATTATCGAGCAAGTACTATTAGTGCGATTGATATTCGAAGGCGTCTGACACCAGTATTGTTCAACGGCGGTACTATAGATGTATCTACGATTACAAAGTTTCTACTACAACGAGCATTGCAAAAGTGACAACGAGTATGTGTTGGCATTACGAAAGTGGCAACTAGTGTTCGTTGACATCACAAAACGCTACTAGTGATTTTGTCAAGTTTAGTGACTTCTTTGTCAAAGAGTTTATTGTAATTGTTAGCTTCTTGGATTTATTTGCTTTTATAAATAGTTCTTTTTTTTAGTTTGTTTATTATTTTTTGATTATTTTCAACCCTTTTTGGAAATTATTGTTGAATTTCCTCGTTTCTAAACTATTGATTATGTTTGTAAAGTCATTTATTAGAGCAATTTCGTTTTGTAGTAGTGACATTTCATTGGTGTAAATCCCAAATTGTTAATATTATTGGTATCATAGGTGTTGTGGTTGTTACCATTGTCCTTGTATTTGAAGAGGAATTAAATACTTTCCATCTTACACGTTTTATAGAGTGTTCTATTTTTTCTGTAAGTTTGATTTTGTAGTCATGTAGTTTTCATGTGAGTATATTTTTAAGTATTTAAATGGTGTGGATTCCCTGTTAATCGAAGTTAGTGTTTTGAATTGTTTGTTGAAAAATATAATAGCAGAATCGAATGCTGTGAAAATTGATCAAACAAAAACAAAAATCAAAAAAAGTGCTCAACTGAAAAATTAATTTTTGCGGAGCTAAGGCAATAGCGATGAAAAAGGTAGTATAAAGCCCCAAATACTGACTGTCAATTTGATATTATCTTGAAATAAAATGCTCGGTATCAAAGATCGAGCAGTGATGGGATTAATATGGCTAAAGGTTTATCCCTTACCTAAATGATGTTGCCTTAATCATCCTGACTACACAGTTTC